AACTATAACATTTTTACTTTGGCATATCTATTATGATCTATTAATTAACTATATATATTACAAATATAAAGAATATACTTTTTCGGTCTAATAGCTTATACAACTTAATTTTACAAAATATAAAATCAAATTTGTATTAAATGTCTATCTTAGCATAAATAGATGATATACTATGGCTTAGTTCATCTATAAACCAATTTCAACAAATCATCTAAACAGCTGCATCTGTTTATACAACAGCTCATATTAAAGTAAACCTACAAAAATCTACTCTAATTTCAGATACAAACTTTATATCACAAATTAATTTTATAAACTACACCATCTATATATAACCAATATATACTTTATTTAAATTTTTAGGCTGCTAATTCATAGCTATTCTAAAATATAACAAACAAATAAAATTTATCAAACAAGAAGCATCTGAACTTAATAATATATTTAAAATCAAAAATATAACAGACAAACAGGTTATTTATATTATTAACAACATTATTATTTTAACTATTAAATATTATATTTACAATATAGTAATTCTAAAAACTATCTGCAATTCAATATTATCTTTATATCTTATTATAGCCAAACATAAAGCTAAATTACCTATCTTAACACCCAATAGCATTATACTTAACCATAATATTTACAGAATCAAAAACATTTGAAACATCCAATTATAACATTACATTTTCAACCTTTTACTCAGAATTAATGACCAAAACCTTATATATATTAGTATACATATATAAGATTACAACAATTACAAAACAACCTATAGTCAACTACTAATATTCTCAACATTCACAACCCCTTATTGATGAACCAAATAAGAATACTACTACTTACAAAGTTATACTACTACTAAACCAACTTCAACTTAACATCAATATATATCCTAATTTCACACAAATCCACACACTCTAATATCCCTATACACCTATTGAAAAAATTCTAAATATATCTAGCCTTCAAGAAACAACTATATACAAAAAATATCATATACCTTGAACAACTTACATTATATAATAATATAGCTTTACTTAAATAGTCATATATCTCATACTAGCTACAACATATATCTAAAGATTATAAACTATTATAGTTTATAGTACTAAAAAACAATATTATCACAGACCAACAAACTAGATTAATCAATACTCAACTTCAATTACTAAATACAAATACTTTATCCTTTAATATAAGACATTACAAAACTAAACCTAAACCTTAGTTAATCTCTTATAGCAATAATAATAATATAATTCTAGGGAAGCTGAAAGATATAACCATTATGACAACTCAATATCTATTACATATTGGCAAATTGAATTTGACTACTCACATACTAACCTTTACTTATCATCTACATACATCTGTAAGCCATGTATAGAATGCCTACTAAATTCTAACTGAATTCAAAATATATACATACTCAACATCTCTGATAACATATCCAACAAACTTCTATATTGAAAAACAAATAACAACACTTCTAATAAACTCAACCTTCATGCTAACATACTGAACTCTATATGCTTAATTGTATTGCATTATCCAACTACAATACCAAAACTACTAACAGTTACAATCTACAATAATGCAGTATTTAAAATCTTTAAAAACAACTAATTCTTATAAATTCTACAACAAATAGCAATAAATAACACAATATACATACAACTAACATTTTATACAGATGGATCAGTTAATGATATCACTACAAAATGATGCACAATAAATATCAGCTGGGTTCAAACAGCTAATAACATAATACTACACAACTACTCTGCCACAATTTAACTCTGGCCCTCCTTTTACAAGGCGGAACTACTCACAACTCTTTCAGCAATTTGTACATACCCAAGAAATAGCAGTATTACTATTTACACTGATTAATAATCTATAATATCCAAGTTTGACAAACTCACTTAACATCTATCTGGACCAAACAAACAAATATTCATATAATTACTGGCCAATTTAGTATATATTACTAAATCTTACTAAATCTTACAACCTAACAATTAAGCTTCAAAAAATTACTACACAGAGTAATAATATATTTAACAAGACAGCTGATAGCTTAGCTAAAAATCAAAACCATATAAATGATCTTAAATTTTTACACAATAATATCTACAACATATCATACTATTTACAATATACAACTATACAAGAATTTATACCTACTACACTTATACAAACTATTAGAGAATACACAGACTCTAACAAAATAGCAACAAATACTACTATTCTATTGCTTTTACAATTATTTCAGTATAAATATAATCTAATCTAAAAACTATACTGTACCAAGCTATTAAACTGAAAACAACAAAACAATATATCTGCATATATTAGTAGAAACTGAACAAGGCCAAATATTACATCTACCTCCAATAACCCATGACCAAGAATGCAATATACCTACAGCTACGGCTGTGGTTTATCTGACCAACAACATATAGATAATGATGACCGGAGTAAAATTGCCACCCAAAAAAGTTTCGAAAATCAAAGTGTTATTGTCAATTGATCATGATAATAATATTTAGTATTAATAAATATTAAGTGATTTAATGAGTGATGTTTTTTTCTTGGTTCTTCAAAATGAAAAGCGATCATTACAATCTCGACAAACCAAGTGATTCTTTAAAAGCATAAAATCCAATAAACACAATATTCTAAAAATATACTTGATTGCCGTAATCAAATTCTCAGAATAATAATCGAAAAAAGAATGAAAGTCGAAATAAATTATAAGATATAGTCAAGAAAATGCAATTACACCAGAAAACCTTGTGGATTTTACTGTATTTTTAATGTTCCTTCCGGAAGGCTATAACTCTGATTATTTATTTGAGCAAAAAATTTTTATAAATCTGAATTCGAGACGCAACAAAAAAAATTATTGAAGAAAACATAATGAATTTAAATAGTAACAAATGGCTCGATAATATCAATAAAAACTTTGAGCCATTGCATAAATTGGAAGAGGATTATAATCATTTTAAAAGGCAACGGAATCTTCCAAATATTTAGAAAACCATAATCATAATACTTTCTGGCTGTAATAAATAATATGTTTACTGAATTTATTCGAAATAAATAAAATGATTAATTTATTGCTTATCGTTATTTTGTTAGTCTATAAATTTTTGTTTTATTTTTTTGTTCAAGTTACATGGATTTTTGGTGCTCGATATACTTGTCACATAACGTTCGAAACTTTTTTGGGTGTGATTCCTGCCAGGTTAGGAACTGTGTATGAGAATGGTTAGTTAATTGTTCAATAAAATAGATGTGATGCGTATTTAGTTTTCTTTTTATAACCGAGGCTTTTGAGTTGGAGTATAATATATTATTGATAGAGGTTCCTGTTTGGTTCATTAGTATAGGCCAGATATTGCTATCATTGTGTAATGTAAGTTGGGCTTTATGAAGTTCAAGTACTATTTGGGCGGTAGTTGTTTTGCTTTCTGGTGTTGGGAAGGTAGGTTGATAAGTGAGTATCGAAAGGTTTGTAGCAGCTGAATTTTGTAGTTGTTGTAGCTGTATTTTTAATGCGGATATGCCAAAAGAGGGGTGATTAAGAATTTTGATGAAGTTGTTGATATGTTGTAATTGCTGTGTATTTTGAGTTGTTTTTAGGCTATAGATTCGGTTATGAAATAATGTTGAACTTGGAATGGTACTAGCGAATCCAGCTTTGTGTTTGGCAAGATTAGTGTAAGATTTGGTGATTTTATCTAACTGTGAGCTTGAGAAGGAGGTGTTTTGAATCCGGTAGGCAAAGCGGGTAAGGATTACTGAATTAATTATGTATATTGCTTGCTTGTCTGTTATTTTTGCATGCCGTAGCTTTCGTAGAGCTGCTGTAATTTCATCGGTAATAATTGTATGAGTAGGTTTGTGAGAAAGGGTTCTGGAGAACCAACACCCTAGGAATCTGAAAGCTTGGTCAGGAGGGATGTTAGATATTATTTGTTGATTAAAAGTGATTTGCGCATTGTTCGTTTTGGTGTTGGTAGCTAGGGTTGATTTGT